CCAACATCATGTTCTCCCCTCCAGTGCATGTTGCCACTCCCACTTACGCGCCAGCGGACGTCGCATTGATTTGCTTTGATTTATTGTCCGCCAAACAATGCAGCGACGTTCCCCAGACCCGGTTCAAGCTGATGTTGCTGCTGCTGCCGCTGAGGGGTTGCGGCTGCCTACAGCAACAACAGCAGCAGCAACAGCAGCAACAGCAGCAACAACAACAACAACAACTTGCACACGAGCTGAGCTTCAAGCACAATTCATAACTTTGCTTTCGTACTAATTACAAAAAGTGCTGCCTTCCCCCCGCTTTGCCTGCTGACCCCCCGCTCAGCTGCTGCCCCTCACTCACTCTCTCTCTCAGGCAGCTGCCATGCGACAAAAAAAAACGCGTCGACCGTTCGACTCACTTCAGAAAACAGCTTGAGACAATGCCGCATGCAAAAATTCTTCACGACAACCAAAGGAGTACGAGTATTTATGCATTATAATACACACACACACACACACACGCCCTCCAGCCCCAGGGCTGGAATCTGTTTCTGTTCGAAAGTGCGCGCTTTTTGACATGTGCCGCGCGCACGACTCGCACACACAGCGACTGAGAGCGTTGCTCAGTGTGGTTTAAGCGGTGCGGAGCGGGTCTTGGGGGTAGCTGGAGTGTGGTATTTGACTTGGTTGTGCATTGTAAAGCACTGAAGTGCTTATGTGCCTGCGATAGTTGCAACAATTGCTGAAGAGAGCGTGCAGAAAATAAAAATAAAAAATAAAGAAACAAGGGTTCAATTGCCCAACGGCTGATCCTTGAAAAAAGCCTTTGAGAACTGATCCCACAATCAACATGAAAAATAAATTTAAAATTAATTATAATATAAAATGAAATGCATAGCTAAGCTCCAATAAGGCATGCTGCACACTTGGTTACGTACGAAGTTTTCGATTCAGAGGCTAAGATAAAGCAAGGAGCTTGCAAAGCTCTTTGCTAACCCAACTACTGTGTGCTTCAAGCTTAGCTTAAAATGTAGCTTTCATGCTCTTCTTTCAAGCTTAAGCATATAATTACAAAGTTTTGAGGATTCAGAAGCTTTTTAAGCCCTAAAACTAATGCATGCCTAAAGCTTGGCTTAATATGTAGATAGCTGTTAAAGTTTAAATTTAAGCTTAAGCCTACAATAAACAAGCTTTGAGCTTTCAGGAGTCTTAATCTACAGCTTTCAAATGATTCACGAGCTTGTACTTGGAAAACACAATTAAACCATTTAAAATGTCATAGACGTTATGCATCTTGAACAGAGATAACATGAGCTTGAGCTTTTCGTCCAATTAAGTGCATAAATCAGTTAGAGTTTTTAATGTTGATTTCTTTAATTGAATCTTGAATAGATATTTCATTAGCTTGAGCTTTTAATTCAATTTTTGTAGACGCTTTCAAAGATGGGGCCCGCCCCTAACAAGCTGACTCTGTTATTTCCATGTAGCTCAATTGAAGTGAAATGTGCAGCCCCTCCTCACCAAAATCCCTTGAAACAGTTGGGCGCCCGCTCGTTTTGGGCTAATAGAAATGTTAACAGCATCGCACATTGGCCCAGCTGTTAACATTTCACTTAACATTTTTGGCGCGCATTGAGTTTTGTTTTGACCATTTTTTTTTTCTATATTTTTTTTTTTTTATAGCTATTTTTGGAAGCTCCTTTGAAGTGGTGGCGCCGGCACATGCAAAAATATTAAATGAAACTCGCTGTGCAACCCATCAAAAAATAAAACCAAAAAAAGAGTACCCAAAAAATAAAAATAAAAATAAAAAAAAACGCTAAAAGGGTGCTCAATACTAAAGCCTTTTTTGCCATAAGCTGACCACACACACAGACGGGGCACACACACACACACACATACACACGCACACAGAGAAGTGGAAAGGGGGCGGCGAACCATTTGAAGTGTGCAACGAGCCCATAGAACTGCCCGTTGCCACACCTACACTTCACAACTTATGCGTGTATGTGTGTGTAAGTAAAAAACCCAAAAAAATAAAAAACAAGTAAAATACGAGCAAAGCCACCCGCATTTTAGTTAATTAACTCATTTGGTTGGCAACTGCTGCTAAGCCGCTCGAACTGGGCCACAAAAGGCTGGGCACTGAGCACACACACACACACACACACACACACACACAGGTCCTTGCTCCAGGTCCAGCTTCAGTTTCTATTCCCAGTTGCCATTCGGTACATTAATTGATTTGCTCTGAAGGCTTTGACGTTGCCAGAACAGTTCGTTTCTGTTGCTGACCAAACTAGTTTTGCTGGCAAGTGTCGCCATTCTCACGGGGATTCAATTTCAAGCGCGCCAAGAAACAAAAACCCGGTAGCTGCTCGCCCCCGCACAGTTTGAGCAGCGCACAGTTGGACAGCCACTGATTGATTTTCAAGCAAAAAGTCAACAAGAAATTCTTCGTTGTTTTGTGATTTTTTTTTTTTTATGTATCGACTGCCTGGCATTATGAAAACAATTTTCAGGCTTAAGCAGCTCAGCAGAACAGCAACAACAGCAACGTGCCACAGACATTGCCACAAACAGTCAGCATGAAAATCACAGTGCCTCCAGCCCCAGCCCCAGCCCCAGCCGCAGCCGGGCCCAGTTCTAAGAGCCAGTGCGCTTTTGAAGGCTGTCTGGCATTTTAAGTCCCCAGCAAACGGCAAGGACAAAACTGCAGCTTCTTTTGCCACCCGAGCTCATGCCCCAGCCCTTGCCTTGCCTCCCTTGCCGCGCACAACAGCCGCTTGTCTGTTGTTTGTACTTAAGAGCTTTTAAATATCATAAATATATATCTATGCGACGAGTCGAGCCCGAGACCGAGACTGCGCCCCCGTCCAATACCGCTCGTGCCTCAGGCTTTTGCTTACGTTACATTTGGCTGCGGGTTCAGGTTCGGTTTTTGGTTTAGGTTTGGGTTTGGGTTCGCTTGGTTTGTTGATGATGTTGACAAATATGCCTCGAGGGCCATTCATCTACAAGAAAGAAGATAAACACAACAGCAGCAACAAAAACAACAACAACAAATACACTAAATTCCTGCGGCTCGACGAAACAGTCTCTTGTCTTTTAGCTGCATTTTAAACCAATACACAATACGCTAGGTGCCTAACTCTTCAAGGCTGAAGCAAGCTGAATTTCACCTTTTTGGAGCTAACAAGAGCTTAAGTCAATATTATGCCCACTTTAAATATAAAGTCTGACTTATTAATCTTGGCCTTAAATGGATTTCACAAACTCGTCGCATCTTTAACACCTGGAACCTGTGATCGAGAACTGATCGAGATTATTTGATCTTCACTTTCTTCAATTTTTATAGAAAACTATGCTTGAACTTAGCCTACAATAAAGAAGTTTTCCCAACCACATCCAACCCATTTAATCTTAGGCATTAGAGCTCTTCATTTTCTGCCCACTTGAGATCGTCTCGTCCATATCACTGGGAACGAACCTCTAGCTCACAGCGAACAAAAACGTCTTCCGATTTGTATCGCCCAATCTTCAAATTCATGTGTTTAGCTCCAAAAGATCGATCCCGATCGAGCGCTCCTGAATCTTTTGTTGCACTTTCTCAACAAACTTAGTTCTCTTCCCTCTCGAGTTGTGCTATCCGAGGAAACCTAAGCCTTGACTAGGTATAGCCCAACTATTTTCATGACCCTACCAAGTTTTCCCAGCCCAAAGAACCTAAGCCCCAAAGGACTTTTCTTAATCGTTTACGTTTCACCAGTCCACAGCAACTGCATTGCAATTCAGCCTTAACCCGACCCTTATAACGACTTCCTGCTTAACTTTTTTTGAGGCGGGGGGTAGCCGTCGCCGACGTCGTCGTCGTCGTCGTCTCATCGATTTGAGGGAAAAACTGGTATAAGAAGGCTGCAAAGGCTGAAAACTGTAGCTCATACCAAAAAGTCCTTTTGGCAATAGAGAGAACGATATGCCCATCGACTAATTTCCAAAGTTCTTTATTGCCTGCAACGCCCCGGCTGTTCTGGCCCAGTCCCCCTCTGCCGGCTCCATTGGCTTCCGGTATTTATACAAATAAAATTGCACAAAACTCAAAAACCAAAACAAGTACAAATCAACAGAAAATCGAAGCCAAAGTGCCCCAAAAGTCATTGCCATCCGAGGCCGAGGAGAAGTCGTAGGAATCGCTTACTAGAACTAAGGAGAAGAGGACACTGCGGCACTGCGCCGGACCTGGACTAAGCTATGTGGGTTGGGTAACGGTTTGGGTTTGGTTGGTTTGAGTTTTAGGCCAGGCTGAGCTCTGGCTGGCTTCGGTTTTGGCTGTGGGGCTGGCTCTCGGTTCTGGGCCCAGACTAATTTGCCAAAAAAGTTTGCACCGCATATTTTTGTAACCTTTTTTGTCGCTGCTGCTGCTGCTGCTATTGCTGCTTCTGTTGCTGTTGTTGTTTTAATTTCTCATTTGGCATTTGATTTCAAGCAAGTCGTCGTCTGTCTGTGGCCCACCACCCCCGGGGCAACCCCCTGGCGAAGGTCAACGCTAATAGCACTAAAATTCCAAGTTGGCTTATCGATACCAACGATAAACTATAAATTTGTCGGCTGTTTGTTGCTGCTGTTGGTTGCTGTTTCTGTTGCTGTTGCCAATGCGAATGGGCATTGCAGACGGGCCTGCACGCCCAACCCCAGCCATTCCTATGATTTTAAGCCTTTTTTTGTGAGACTGAATATGTGTGTTTGTGTGTGTGTGTGTGTTGGCTGGAGCAAAAGTTTTGCAACGTATTAATTTGGCTAAATTTAACCCGTAATGACTTTAAAAGTAAAATTAATGAGGGTCGATAGTTGCCTTTTGGCTTTGGGTAGGGGCAGCAAAGTTTGCGCCCAAAACATATGCGCCTGACAGGGGCAGCCAAACAATGCGATGGGGCAAGCTGAGGCGTTTATGATCTCTCTTTCTCTCTCTCTCTCTCACACAGACTCTCCCTTTCTCTCTCTATCTCTCTCTACAGCGCGCTACACTAGCCGAGAAGGAAGTGAACACCCTCAAGGAGCAACTTTCGACTGGCACGCCCGGCAGCAACAGCGACAGCAACAGCGACAACAACACAGCAGAATCAGCAGCAGTAGCAGCAGCAGCGGCAGCAGCAGCAGCAGCATCATCATTGGCCAGCGGCGAGGAGGAAGCCACTGGCAACAGCGAAAGCGACAGCGACAAGCTGCTGAATAGCTCGATTGTTGCAGCGGCCATAACGCTGCAACAGAACGGCGGCAATCTGTTGGCCAACACAAATACACCGTCACCATCGCCGCCGTTGCTGAGCGCTGAGCAGCAGCAACAGTTGCAGAGCAGCCTGCAGAACGGCGTCGGCGGTGCCTGCTTAAATCCCAAGCTCTTCTTCAATCACGCAAAGCAAATGATGATGGAAGCGGCAGCAGCTGCTGCAGCGGCGGCAGCGGCAGCCCAACAGCAACAGCAGCAACAATCGCCCATGCACTCGCCCATTGCTGTAGCCAACAACACAATTGCAGCAACTGCAACAACCACAACAACAGCCGCAGCAGCAGCAGCAGCAGTAGCAGCAACACAACATCAATCAGCACGAGATGTTGCCGAGGCAACAGCCAGCAGCAACTGTATCGATGATGACGAGGACGACGACGAGGAGGATGCATCCATGCAATCGAATGTCGCGCATGCCGATGGTGATCTAGATGACGATGATATGGAGCTGGAGCCGGAGCATGTGGCTGATATGGGCAGTGTTGCTGCCGCTGAGCCATTGGCAAGAACTGATAATATTGGCGATGCGAATGCAACGCATCTGCATCATCCTGATGGTGATGATGAGGATGTTGCACATGTAGCTGCCGATGACCACGAGGATGCAGTCGAAGCTAGTTTAAATGTTAGCAAAAATCACAACAACAACAACAATGCTGATAGCAACAATAGCTGTAGTCGAAAGAATAAGAACAACAACAACAACAACAGTGAAACGCAACATGTTGCACTGCGTGATAATAATGTAAATGAGCAACATGTGGCACATAGCGCCGAGGACGACGATTGCACCAATAACAATACTAACACAAACAACAACAACAACAATGAGAAGCGCAAAAAGCGCAACACCAGCAACAACAATAACAACAACAACAACAATCAGCCCGCTGTTCTATTAGCTGCCAAAGACAAAGAGGTAAGTTTATTGAATACTCTACCTTAGAGTTTATTTTGTTTATTTTTAGAAATTCCTCCACTTAATTTAATAAACTGTCTATGAAAACCACACCACGTACCGCCCCTCAGACCCCAGACAATTACCCAGCGCAATGAAATGTAAAACCGTTAAGATTAGACAAATGTTGCCAACCCAAAGCATAAAATAAAGGAGTTAAGTTGCAACCCTGAACCCCTCCAAAAAAGGAAAAAATTTCAACCGCAGACGATGGCGACGACGTCGACGCACGACTGACCAGCCCCCGCACACTCCCCCTTGCGCATGTCCTGACTGTCCGCACGCACAATTGAGAAAACACTTGCATAAGTAAACAAAACACCCACAGCGCCACGCCCCCAGCCGCACAGCCGCCTAGCCGCCCAGCCTCGCAGCCAGTTTAGCGCACTTTTCTTGTAATTTTCTAGCCAAACACAAGTGCAAAAAAAATAACAGAGAAAAAAAAACAGAAGGAAATACAAGGCAAACAAATGAGCGTCCCGGCAAAACAACAACAAAAAATGGCAGAAAAAAATAAAAGGACTTTTGACTTCTTCTTTACAGGACGTTACAAGAAAGGGCAACGCAGAAGCTACAAAAAAAAAATATGATAAAAAAAATATGCAAGGGATTTGACTCGAAAGCTACGAGGACAGTTCCCAAAATAAAAAGAGCTCTGAAAAAAAATGTTTTTTTTTTGTGTAGAAAAAGTTAAAATGAAACTTTGCGCAAGACACTTTGATTGGGTGGAGTTGAACTGCAGACTATAGACTAACTGGCTGAGGCGAGGCAGCGGGAGGGCGGTTGGTTTGGTGTAAAGTGATATCATTAAAATATTGACATGACAATTTTAACGCCTACAATTTGTTGTCTGCCTTTGTTTACATTTGCTATCATCTGCGTTTGTCTTTGGCTGTCCTTAAAGGCAGGCTTTGCCATGGAAAGGACCCTTCCTCAAACACAAGCTTCAGCATTTATAAGCTATTCAAGTGGCTGCCATCATATTTGTATTTTTTTCTTTTTGTTCTTTTTGTTGTTTGTCTACGCCAACTTTAAATGCCGTTCACACAAACTTTTCTGAGCTGCTGCTCAAACGTTTAAGGATACGATACAAAGAGGAACTCAAGAAAATTCAATCATCGTGTTAGTTTCAACTGATCATACAATCTGTCTTTCTTTCCTTCCACTCTGTCTCCCCCTCCTTCCCTTTCTTTTTCTCTCCTTATTCCTCTCTTTATCGATATATATGTCTCTCCACCTCGTTATCTTTCGCTATCTCCCTCTCTATCTCTCCATTGGTCTCTCTCTCGCACTTTCTATCTCTATCTCTCTCTCTCTCTCTCTGTCTCTTCCTCTTCCCCTATCTTTCTCCCTTTCTCCCTTTCTCTCTCTCTCTCTCTCTCTATGTTGCCATTTATCTCTGTATTTCTCTTTGCCTCACACTCTTCATCACTTCCACATCATTTCGCTCGGTGCATCTCCTCTGCCCCTTCGCTGCTTTTTTTCCAATTTCTTTAATGCAAGCCGCGCTGCACGTTAACCGCGTCTCCATTGTGCCCACATTGAATGATTGCTTATTGCCAGCGTCAATTCCCCAATCCCCCAAAAAGCGCAGCCCCAATCTAGAACCCAAGCAAAAAAACCCGCTGCAAGTTTTGCGTGCGAATTCGTTGACTGGGAGGGGGTTAGCTGGTTAGGGGCTGGTTGCATTTAAGCATCAATCATTATCATTTGCCATTAAGTGCAGCGCAGCATCTTGCCAGGCATTCGGGACATCTTTCGCAGCTTCTAACTGCCATTAGCAACCCCTAGGTGTCGCTGCAACACAAATATAAAAAAGAGAATTGAAGCAAACCGCACCGCACCGCACCGCACCCCTCGTTGCATTTCTTTAATGTGTTATCACTTCACTTGGCACACAGCAGACACAATCTCTTAGCCCACGCTCATCCATCCCCTCTCTCTTTTCCCTCTCCCTCTCCGTCTCTCTCTCTTGGTTTCTCGCTTGCTTACCTGCCACTTATAGCTAGGCTTTTGCTTACATTTGCTTTGCTTTTCTTTTCATTTCAATTCATTTTTTCTTTTTATTTGAAATCCATTAAATGCTATTTTCGCCAAATGCTACGCGCCTCTAAAAACGATTTCCCGCAAATTCTCTACGCCGGAGTTTTGCTTAGCTCATTTGTTTGATTACTAGCGCCCCCTGGCGGCGCGCACACACACTTAACACTCTTGGAGGACCGGCCATATGCTGAGCAGCTCCAGAGACACAGCCCATGCACAGCTGTAATAAATGCACTCGCCTGACAACTAAATCACTTACGTGTGCGCCCAAAGATTCAGATTTATCTGTTACACATGTTCATAAATATGCGACAATATTTTTTAGACGCCGTCGCGCAACAGGCCCCAAAAAAAACGTAGCAAAAAGGGCAAAAAAAAAAACACCAGAAAGAATAGTTATTTTGGGCATGCCGAAGATGAAATACCCTTACTGATTTTGATGATGTGATTCGATATGCCAATAACTATATAGTATATATATAACCATTCGCAGCAAAAAGTTGAATCCACAGCATATTTGTGTATGTATATACCATATGGTATATATATAATATCGAAGATATGCTCTTTAAAATCTGCAAGTTGCATAACAAAATGAAAATACCCTCAGTATAGCGTATAGAATGCAAGCATGTGTGATCGACAGTTGTGCAAAAATTATGTTAAATGGAATTGCAACAGTTGTTTGTTGTTAGAGAGTGTCTTGTTGGCTCTGATCTGGTCTACGGTCTCTGGACTTCTAATAGAACCAACTTCCACTCCTCCTCTCCCCTCACACTAGCCCCCAACCAGGCACTTGACTTCGCTCTTCTTCAGCGCATTTGTTTGTCTTGGCGAAGCGCGTGTTTATTTTTTCGCAGAAGTGCATTTTTATAGACAAAGTGCACGGAGAGCGTGTAAAAATAGCAGCGGGCCAACCATGGGTTAAACATGCCACAAACAACAACAAAAATATGTTATAAAAAAGTAGAAAAAAAAATGATATATATGTTTATGCGATAAAAGTTGCTAGCAAATTAGCAGCTCCACAAAAACAAATACATATGCCAAAAACCACAAATAATAAAATCTAAAACACTTCCGTTTTGATTTAGTTAATATTATATCTATATATGCCGTATGTACATAAATTAAAGGGAAAAAGAAATGACACGTTCGGTTTTTTTTATCACGCAACAAACAAAAACAAATAACTTAGCCAAACAACAACAAAAATTATAATAATAATAACTTATATAGAACATGGCGAGTGTTGCCCACAAAAAGATTTCTCTTCTGTTGTGTCTCTTTGCCACGCGGAAGATTTAAATACACTATGAACTGTATTATTAATTAGTATATATTTTAATGTATATTAATTAATATATTATATACTTAAATATATATTAATAGAATCATGCATATACTTTAGCTTATCATTTAATTGCAAATCTTTAAAAAAAATTGATTATTTCTTGTGCTTTTTGGGCCAACATGTTTTTTGGCTTCTACTGCACAGTTCATGACAAAACTATAATACCCTCTTCAAGGGCCCAGGAAATTAAAAAAAATCACACAAAATATAACGAACCACATTATGTGTGTGTGTGGTTTGTTCCGCGGCAACGCGCGTTTTTTATCGCTGGTGGTCAAAAAAAAAAAAGTATATGTATATATATATAATTATATATATATATTTATATATTTATTTATTTCAATATAGATAAATTATAAAAACACAAGAAAACAATGTTTATCGAGCAAACAAACAAAATGCAACAACAACGAATGTTGTATTTGTTATGTCGCCACCGACAAACCGAAATCAATTTTTTTATGACTGCGGTTAGTCGGTCAGTTGTTATTGCTGTTAATATTTATCCGAACACTTGTCGTGCACAAGCATATAAAAATTAACAGCCAAAACAACAACAGACAAATTCATAAAAATACATATAAATACTTATATATATCGTCAGTGTTCGACTATCAGCTGAGAAAATTCATGTGAATAAATCGGAAATTGCTTGGAATGCGCATAGACCACAGCCTGGGAAGAGTTCTGTTTTATCTGTTGCACATGGCAGGTGGCAGCTGAACAGCTCTTCGATGCAGCTAAGTGTCTTGAAACCTCAAATAACTCTTATAGTCAAGTGCTGAGATATACGTATCAATCAAGGCTGCGCTCGGATTCGAACCAAACAAAGTTTAGTCCGGTGTACTAGTTTTATATTTACCGCTAACCGAACTTCAAACGGGTTGGTTGCATTGAGCCAAGGCTCGAACCAAATAATAAGGCTGTTCAAACTTGTTAGAACCCGGAGTTTCAATTGATGTTTTATTTTAATAATAAAGAAAAAGAAAAGAAAGAAATTAGGAACATTTTTTAGATTAGCCAAGGCAAGAAGTTAGTTAGAACCAACGGCAATTTTTTGTTTGATTTGGTTCGAACCGGAATCGAGCCTTGAGATTAGTTTTTCTCAAATAATTGACACTGCTCTAGTAAGGTGAGAGTTCTGGCTTATCTAAAAGTGTGACATATTCTAAAAACTATTGCATTATGCTCCAAAAATGGTTTATACTCAATAAGATTCTTGTATATAATACAAATATTTCAAGTTCGTTGCACTATCAATCAAACGAATCTTCCCGCATTTGGCCTGCCCACTGACTCTGAATCTGACTGTGACTCGGACTTGGACACGGGCACGGACATGGACTTGAACTAACCGAAACCCCTACCAAACCCCTCCTCCTGCCCCCCCACCACCGCCAACTGACCAGCATAATGCGTACTGAATATATTGTACTTATATAGATAATCATAATAATAATTTTCATGCACAAATTCGATTTGTGCTTATCATCGCGTGACGCGAGGCGAGCCAACGACTGTATTGTGCCGCACAGCTTCTGGAAACGGATGAACTGGGGAACTG